CTTCTCATCGGCGGATCCAACAATTTTGGCTAGCGGGAGTGATGATGGTTCAGTTAAGCTCTGGAGTATCAATCAGGCAATTCTACTTTTGCACTTGGTGGATATCAGCTTTGAAACTAAACGCACTACAGAAATGTAATTGCATGCTAACGATATTTATCTGGAATGTTTGATAATTTGTTCCTTACTTGGGTTGCTACTGCAGGGTATGAGTATCGGCACGATCAGAACAAAAGCCAATGTCTGCTGCGTACAATTTCCTGTGGATTCTGGTCGGTCCCTTGCGTTCGGTTCAGCCGATCACAAAATTTATTACTACGACATGCGGAATATTAGAGTTCCTTTGTGCACCTTCACTGGACACAGCAAAACTGTGAGTTACGTCAAGTATATAGATTCGAGCACTCTTGTTTCTGCATCCACTGATAACACCTTGAAGCTCTGGGATTTGTCCATGTGCTCGTCCCGGGTTATTGATTCTCCAGTTCAGTCCTTCACGGGCCACATGAATGTGAAGGTACCATATCTAACAGTTTTAAAGTGATTTTCCTTTGTATCCATTGTGTCATGATCATGTTGTCTACTTTTTTTTCTGAATTGCTCTAAGAATGAAAACTATTCTCGCAAACCATAGATCCTTTTAGATGGTATCAAGACAATACCTCTCCCAGTAGGATATGGTTTAGGACGAACAAAGACGGAAGTTGTGGGCATGTGACTCCCAACTGAAGGAATGATACATGAATGGATCGAGACTACATTCGAATGAGAGTGAATTTGAGGATAGGATGATTGAGAAAAACTGAAAAGAATTGAAGTTACTACTTATACCAATAAGGTGCACTTTTCTTTTCGACAGCTCAATCATAGGAACTCCCGAATTAAGTGTACTTAGTTGGAGTACTTTTATGTTGGGTGACCTCCTCAGATTTTACAATAGTATGATATTGTTCATTTTGGGCATAAGCTCTCATGGTTTCACTGGAAACCGGATAGTAGATAGAGATAATGGGAATCTCGTTAATTAGGAAAAAGAGGGAGGAAAGGCATCCAATTGGAGAGGGTCACGTCGCAAAAAAAGTAGCGTCTAAAACAAGGCGGAAGTTTTTCCCCCATGAATGTTGAACGTTCATTGTTTCCTCTCGAGCCGTTCCAAATACAAACAATTTTAGGGTTACTTATAAATATATGTGTTGTGAACGATGTTTCTATATATCGCGACTGTTATGTATCGTACGTTTTTATCGACCACTCCCTTGATTGATATAAGAGCCTCTTACCCTGCAAAAAGGTATTCAAGTTGATGAATAGCTGATATCTTGTTTAAACTTCTTTTGCAGAACTTTGTGGGACTATCAGTGTCTGATGGTTACATTGCTACAGGTTCAGAGACAAATGAGGTTAGCTTTTGCATCCATTTTTTTTTGTTTATTATTGTGAGATTCATATCGGTTCGAGAGGGGAATGAAACATTCTTTATAAGAGTGTAGAAACCTCTCCCTAGCAGACGCGTTTTAAAAACCTTGAGGGAAACCTCAAAAGGGAAAGCCCAAAGAGGACACTATCTACTAACGGTGAACTTGGGCTGTTACAAATGGTATCAGAGTCAAACACTGAGCGGTGTGCCAGCGAGGACGCTGAGGGGGGGTGGATTGTGATATCCCACATCGATTGAAGAGGGGAAGAAGTGTCAGCGAGGACGCTGTGCCGGGGGGGGTGGATTGTGAGATCCCACATCGGTTGGAGAGGGAACAAAGCATTCTTTATAAGGAAACGTTTCCCTAGTAGATACGTTTTAAAAACCTTGAGGGAAAGCCCAAAGAGGACAATATCTTACAAATGGTATCAGAGTCAAACATCGGGTGGTGTGCCAGCAAGGATGCTGAGCCCTAAGGAACGTGTGTCAGCGAGGACGTTGGGCCCCAAAGGGGGTGAATTGTGAGATCCCACATCGGTTGGAGAGGGGAACGAAGCATTCTTTATAAGAGTGTGGAAATCTCTCCCTAGCAGACGCGTTTTAATCACATCCCTTATCGTCACCAATTATTCAATCTGCATTACATCGGTTTCTTCATCCTTCTGTGAGACCAAAGATAACTATTATAAGACAGCAACAAAATGTATATCATCACTGTATCTTCATCTTCAATTGCTATGTTCTATCCATCATTATTCATTAGCTCTTGAAATTTGTTTCTTTATTCTCTGGATTAGGTCTTCATCTACCACAAAGCCTTTCCAATGCCAGTATTGTCATACAAGTTCGAAATCGATCCTCTTTCCGGTCATGAAATGGACGCCGCCGCTCAATTCATCTCGTCGGTTTGTTGGCGAGGCCAGTCGTCTTCATTAGTTGCTGCAAACTCAACTGGGCATATCAAAATTCTGGAAATGGTTTAGAGAGGAGGGGCCATGTCTTAAATACAGAAAGGTTGAAGCAGAGACATGTTGTATACCCAAGAAGTACACAGGTTAGATCTTAATAATTTGGCATTACAATATCATAATGGCTGTGGGCTTTTGTTTTGGAAGAGATTGGTATTGTTCATGTTTGTAGATAGAAATTCAAGAGAGTAAGAGAGATAGGGAGATTCGTGTATAAATTGAATGCAAAATCGTACAAAGTAATTCAGTCGAGCGGAGTTTTCGTATTTTCTGCTTAGGAAATAGACGCCCTATCCACTCAGCTATCCATTGATCTATTGGCGCTTTTTTTCCTACTTTGCTCCCGAGAGAAAAATTATTCAACGTGGTCGCTAATGCTTTATATGCAGGTTCGAAATATTTTTGCTTCGTTGATAGGAGCTTTAAATTCTCATATGTTGATTTATGTCGTATGGTTAGTTCCATTGTTCGACTTCCAACAATTTTTACTTTTAGATATTGATTCGTTTTTAGAGAATTCCGTATTATAGTTCTTGATTTGAGATTCTTTATTCCAAGAGTATTTTTCTTTATCTATTTAGATTGTTGATGAACTAAGTAGGTATTATCTGGTTGATGTTGACTCGAATATGATGTGATACCTCATTGTTTACCTTTCAAGTATGTTGTTACTCTCACACTCATTAGCTCTTTTTCATGGCTACTCGTTCCTCTGGATTAATGTACACGTTGTATGATAGTTGAACCGTGTTTTTATTCTAACTGTATTTCATTTAATTCCGACCCATAAAATAAACATCTCTAAATTAGCACATTTCTAGGGTGGATAGTAATTTGTGAATATGCCCTGCCACCGCGGCATCCACGTGTCAACAGGTGGAAAATAAAATGGATTCATCGAGGGAGACAGAATTATGGGAGAAGTAGAAAACGGAAGGGCATTAAGGTCATTTAAGAATTGCAGTGGCTCGGATCTAAAAAGACAAAACTAGACAGATAGGTTTTGGCAGTACAAGCCACGCGCCGGTTGAGGTTTTTGGCTAAGCACCAGAGCAGGGTTTAGCGTTGCCCCACCCCCACGCGCCACTTTCCCACCCTTTTTTTCTCCGTTTCCCACACCTTTTTATTTTTATTTTTATTTTTATTTTTCTTCCATGCATTCACACCCATAAATAAATCATTTTTTTTTATTTTCTTATATTAAAAACAAAAAATAATATCATCTAATTTATCCATAATTTAAAATATCATCTTAAAACTTAATATTTTAATTTTCATAATATTGAGCAAAAAAAAAAAAAAAAAATAATAATTTCATTTGAATTTTATCTACACCCTCGCGATTTATAAATTAAAAAAATTATATATAAATGAACTGAAGAAATCTAAAATGAAATTAAAGTGTTTACTCAAAATAATTTTATTTTTTTGTTATTTTATATGGTAATCATTAATATGTCAATGTCGCTTAAAAATATAAATTATAATATCAACGATATTTTAAAAGAATCTCAGGAGTCAACATTTGTGCATTTCCTTTTAAAGAATATCACGGTATATACCAAAATAATATCGTGCATTATATCGTCAATATCTCTTATACTTTATAGCAATGAAAATAAAAATAAAAACATTTTAAACAATATTTCGCGATATTTTGGCGATATTTCAGCTTTTTCCTTTTGGATTATTTTTCTCCATTCTCTCTCTCCCTCTTATTTATTTATTTTTATTTTGTTATATTTATTTCAAAAAAGTTCAGTATATTTTATTTTGAAGGTAATTACATAAATATAGTAAGAAATAAACCTTTATTTTTAAATATAATAAAAACTTCAAATTTTTACCATGGAATAAAAATTTCCTTTATTTGAATGTTTGTCTTTTTTCGTTAAAGAAAATGATATTTGTAACTCTATTTTTTACCTTCATTTATTTTTCAATAATAATTTATCTACTTTTTTTTTTTAATATATAATAACGTAAATATTTAGCTTGAAATTACTGATATATCTTTAAAAGGTAGCTAATTAAACACGACCCAAAATTTTTTTTACCATTAACAATTAATTTTAAAGTAAAAAACATAGAAAAAGTCAATATTAATATAGAATAATATTTTCTTGTAACTGATAGTTGAAATTCCATCCCTGAAAGTCATAATTTTTATTAATTACCCATAAAAAATTCTTAATTTATATTAAAAAAAGGTTAGTCTATCATGATTATTCATAGAAAAAAAAAAACATAAGGAAGGAAATCCTAAATGTTCTATTTTAGATTATATATATCGACCCATTTTTTACCATTATTTATTTAAATCTTTCATATTTTAGACGTGTTAGATAAACACGACTTTTCATAATGGTATGATATTGTCTACTTTGAGTATAAGTGTTCATAACTTTGCTTTGAACTTCCCAAAATACCTCATAATAAGAACGGAGAGTACTACGATCAACATTCCCTAAAATAAAAATTAGGTTTTTATTTTGTTTGATTTTGGATTTTAAGAACCAAGAACAGAATTATCGTTTTCTTTTTCTTATTTTTGTTCTAAAAATGATTGAAAATTTTTCCATAAAAGACGATAGATTTGGTTCAGAGCGAACCCCCAACGTTAAGAAGGATTAGTAATTTCTTCCATTTTTTTCCTCTCTCTCTCTCTATCTTCCTCAATACCCATCGCTCTATTTTGAAGAGAGAGAAGTGGTTTGCGATTAAAAATAGAGGGGCGAGATCTGGGGGTGACCCATTTCTTCTTTTTTCCTTTCTGGGTTTTTGTCTAATTTCGGAATTCCAGAATCCTCCGTCGTTCAAAAAGGGTTCTCTTCCTGTTCATCTTCTTCTTACTTTCCCGCTTCCGTAACTGGTAATCATTCTTTCTTTTATGGCTTTTTTCAATCCATTTTGTATGTGGGTTCATGTGATTAGGTTCGATCTTTCTTCATCCGGTTCTTGTTTTCTGTTATTTCAATCCCTTTTTTGGGTTATTCTGTTCGTACCGCCTGTTTTTTTCTTGGTGAATCTGAGGAGAATTGTCCATGGGGGTCTTTCATTTCACCAGATTGTCGTTGTTTTGATATTGCTTATAGCATTCTTATTTGAGAGATCTGTTCTTATGACGATGAATCTTGATGATTTTTGTTTTTAATCAAATGTGTGTTTTGAGTTTTGATAACTGAATTGTAGTTTAATCTTGTATTTTCCTTGTTGCACCCCAGGATCTTTTAGTTCCCTCTGCTGGGAGCTATGGGTGTCGAGGTTGTTGGATTCGAGATGGTCGAGGGACCGGTGGATTCGGTATCGTTAGCAGATAATTCGGTTTCGAAAAGCAAGGAAAATGGAGATTTAGATCAATTGCCTGAAGAGAATGCGCCCATAAAGTTTGGTTCTCATGAAGATGAGCCTGTTAAAGAACAGCCTGATGTTTCTTCAGCCTCGAACGTTCCGAAAGATGCTGCTGATGAATGGCCTGCACCTAAACAAATCCATACGTTCTACTTCATAAGGTATCGACCATATGAAGATCCGAATATCAAGGCTAAGATTGATTTGGCTGATAAAGAGATACAGAAAAGGAGTCAAGCTCGGTTTCAAATCACCGAAACGCTCAAGGGGAAAAGGGTAAGGAAAATGATCCAATATTACAACAAATTGGAGCTTGAAATAGATATGGCAGTGTACTTTTCTTATATTCTTAAGCATAATTTGATTAAAAAGTTGGTCTCTTATTTCCTTGTTGTCTACGGTTTCTGCTTTTAAGTGGCGTCACTTGAGATGCTTAGAAGTTTCGATCTTATGCTCAATGTATGATTCAAAATTGGAATGTTTTCTTCTATCACGTGCCATATATATATGTATGTATGTATGTATCTATACATATATGATAATGGGATGAAGATTACCTAAACTTGCTGTAGTTATGCATGAACAAGTGATACTGATGATTATATGGATGCAAACAGAGTTAATAGAACTCGTGTGCGTTGAATGTTTGGTTTTAACTACAGCAAGTTTAGGTAACTCGTGTGAAAGCTCCGAAATTCATGTGTTCATCTTTATGGGAGATTAAGAAGTTCGATCACTAGTCAGATATTTGATGTTCCATACTTATTTTCTCGTGTTGAATATACTTCTGCTGCATCCACAGGCTGAAAGAGCAGAGCTGATTACTCAAGTGAGGGCTCTGAAAGATGACAACCGACAATTTAAATCAATTGTTGAGGAGAAAATTAAGGAAATCGAACCTCTTAATCAAGCTCTTGGCAAGTTCCGTAATGCAAACAATCCTGGTCGTAACGGTGGTTTATGTTCATCTGAGGAAGAGCTCAACGCTTCTGTAAGTTTCGATATGAGTTCTTAGAAAATATCAGAACCGATTTCTTATTATCAATGGTGGTATATGTTCATCTTGGGTTGGTGGCTGCAGATTCAAGCTTTACAATACCATATACAACACGAGAGCATCCCACTTTCTGAGGAAAAGCAAATTTTAAGAGAAATTAAACAGCTTGAAGGGACAAGGGAGAAAGTTATTGCTAATGCTGCTATGAGAGCCAAGCTCCAGGATTCAATGGTTCATAAAGAAGCCATCCAAGATCAAGTCAAGGTTAGAAACTTTGAAGTTGAATTCAATCCTGTGTTGCTAAACGACTTCTGTAATGCAATAAATGCACGTGTCTTACGAATCGTGCTAATGTAGATTATGGGTGGTGATTTGAATGGCGTGAGGAAGGAACATCAAGCAGTTAGAGCCAAGATAAAGCAAATCGAGGAGGCTTTGAAGACAATAGACGATGATATTAAAACTTTGCAAGATGAATTAACTTCTGTTACCGAGAAGAGAGGCAGAACGTATGAAAGCATGCAGCAACTTAGGAAGAACCGCGACGAGGGGGTGCGTTTGTTTTTTTTTTTTCTATCTTATCAATTCAGTTTACTTAAAAAAAGCCTTGTTTCAAGTATAATTCGTGATTGGTGTTTGTTTCTCATGTTACCTTCTTTTCATATCCATTTCGTTATAACGAGGTTTGAAATGCTATCGTTTTTGGTTGATGTTATTATGTTTTCAGAACGCCCACTTTTATCAAAGCCGATCGATCATGAGCAAAGCTAAAGACCTTGCTGCAAAGAAGGACATCAAGGCCCTTGAGGAGCTCGCTTGTGATGAGGTCTGTTGAATCATTTTTGTTTTGATAAGAACATTATTTGTTACCCGTAGTTCTTCCGATTTCTCATGCCCACTTTGTAACTTCGAAACTCCTGTCGATCAGGTCGAGAAGTTTATGTCCCTCTGGAATGGTGATAAGGCTTTCAGGGATGACTATGAGAAAAGAATTCTTGCTTCATTGGATGTTCGGCAGATGAGTAGGGATGGTCGGATAAGGAACCCAGATGAAAAGCCAATACTCGCACCTGTAGAACTTGCGCCTCCTCGAACTGAGGCAGCACCAAAACCTATCGTTAAACGAGCTAAGGAAGAACCGAAACCAGTACCATCTGATACTCTTCCTGCACAGAAAGTTGATAAAGAAGTTAAACCCAAAGCTGGAAAGCCTTCACGCCCCTTGGAAAAAGAGGATAAAGCAGAGGAGGAGATCCCTGGCTTAGAAAAATTATCGAAAGACATCCCTAAAGAGCCCGAAGTCGATCTCGTGAAATTGAAGGAAATGAAGAGGGTTGAAGAAATTGCAAAAGCTAAACTAGCCATGGAAAGGAAGAAGAAATTGCAAGAGAAAGCTGCTGCAAAAGCCTCTCTACGAGCTCAGAAGGAAGCAGAAAAGAAACTGAAGGAAATTGTCTATACATACACATATAGTTCTCATTTCTGAAGAATACATTCTTCTAAAATTTGCGTCGTGATATTAACACGTTCTATATTTACCTCAGGACCGCGAAAAGAAAGCGATGAAGAAGATGACAGCATCTGGGTTTGCTTCACTTCCTGACGAAGAATCTGCTCAAGCTGATGCAGTTGAGGAGGAATCCAAGGAATCCAAAGAGCTGGAAAAGGTGGATGAAAATGCCGAAGCTCCAGTTCCAGCCAAGACGAACATCCAAAAGGAGACCCGTATTAGGAGCCGTGGCAGCAAGCAAAGAGGGGTGGATTCGATTCCGAAAGTGATTCGAAAGCGCAAGAAGGCAAACAACTACTGGGTGTGGGCTGCTCCTGCCGCCGCCGCCGCTGCGCTACTCGTGATCCTTCTCTTGCTTGGGTACTACTACTACTACCTTATCTAAAAAAACTATGAAAGTAGGAGTTAGAAGAGGCTATGGACGAGACAAATTTTTCTGTTGATGAGTGGGTTAGTAGAGGATCAGGTGTATTTTGAATTATTATGTTTACTTCTGTTTATTTCATCCTTACTGGGGATGAACTCAGCTCATAAGGGTCGGCATTTTAGTGTCAGGTTCACAGTGTTTACTGAGGTTGAAACATGCGTTTGGTTCTTCTTCTTTCAATGTATTTTCCAAATTTTGAGTTCGATCAATCTCCATTGCTGACTGATATAAAATCTTTGAGGCCTCGAGCTTTCGTTTTGTAATAGATAGATGAATGAGGCTTGTTTCCATTTTGACTGTGTTTTGTTTCAAGCAATGTGTAGATGCAAGCGAAGCGAGCACTCTACCATATGAGCTACACTCCGTTATTTGGAAGGTTGCTTTGTTCCCCTCTTAGATCATGAAAAATTAGGGTCATATAATTTTGTATCTAATAATTTGATATAAAAAAAATTAAAAGTGGAGGTGTAGGAAATCGAACCCCGTGCCTCTCGCATGCGAAGCAAGCGCTCTACCATGTGAGTTACACCCCCACTGATTCTCCAAAATAAATACATTGTATCAAAACTTCGGGAGGTTGCTTTGTTCCACTCTCAAACCGATGAAAAATTAGGGTTATATAATTTTGTATCGAATAATTTGATATCTAAAAAACTGGGAATGGAGGTGCGGGGAATCAAACCCCGTGCCTCTTGCATGCGAAGCGCGCGCTCTACCATGTGAGCTACACCCCTGCTGGTTCTCCAAAATAAATACATTGTATGAAAATTTCGGGAAGTTGCTTTGTTCCCCTCTCAAACAAAAATTAGGGTTATATAATTTCGTATCTAATAATTTGATATCTAAAAAACTAGGAATGGAGGTGCGGGGAATCGAACCCCGTGCCTCTCGCATGCGAAGCGAGCGCTCTACCATATGAGCTACACCCCCACTATTTCTCCAAAATAAATACATATGAGGTTGCATTGTTTCCCTCTCAAACCAACGAAAAATTAGGGTTACATAATTTCGTATCTAATAATTTGATATCTAAAAAATTGGAAATGGAGGTGCAGGGAAACGAACCCCGTGCCTCTGCATGCAAAGCGCTCTACCATATGAGCTACACTCCCACTGCTTCTCCAAAATAAATACATTGTATGAAAACTTCAGGAGGTTGTTTTGTTCCCCTCTCAAACCGATGAAAAATTAGTGTCATATATTTTCCTATATAATAATAAGAATGGAGGATCGAGGAATTGAGCCCCGTGCCTCTCGCATGTGAAGCGAGCGCTCTACCATATGTACTACACACCCTTGTATGAAAACTTCGGAAGGTTGCTTTGTTCGCCTCTTTAACCCATGAAAACACGTTTGTTAGAGAGATGTTGCTTTGTTCCTCTCTCTAATGAATGAAAACGCCGTTATGGAGACGTTATTTTGTTCCTTTCTCTAACCGACATGGGATCCCACAATCCACCCCCTTAGAGACTAAAGTCTTTACTAGCACACTGCTTCGATGTCTGTCTCTAATACCATTTGTAACAACCTAGACTCACCGCTAGCGTATATTTTCACTTTGGTCTATTACGTATCACATAAGCCTCACGGTTTTAAAACTTGTCTGTTAGAGAGAGATTTCCGTATATTTATAAGAAACGTTTTGTTCCCCTCTTCAGTGGGGTGGAGTGGGGCAAGACCACTTTGGCCCATTATGTATCGTCGTCAGCCTTTCCATTTTAACGAAAACGAAGTGACATTTGTTTTCCGCTAATGTGCTTTTATTCAAGGGTTGTTTTGGTATGTTAGCCCAAATATTTGGGAAAATTTGTTGAGGCCCATTAGAGTGGCACTAAAAGCAAGCTCAGCCTTCATCCAAGTTCAAATTCAAATTCCATTTCCCTCCTCTTCTTCGCCACCGCTCCAATGGCTTCCTCCAATTCCTTCTTCACCACGCCGACCAAAACCCCTTCAGAAAAGTCCTCCAGAAAGACTCAAAACTCCACCCGGATGGACGCGTCCGAGTCCAGATCCCGATTTGAAGCCTACAATCGTCTTCAGGCGGCGGCTGTGGCGTTTGGTGAAAAGCTTCCGATTCCTGAGATCGTTGCCTTGGGTGGCCAATCCGACGGCAAGAGCTCTCTCTTAGAAGCCCTACTTGGATTCCGCTTCAATGTCCGCGAAGTCGAAATGGGGACACGCAGGCCTTTGATCCTCCAAATGGTCCATGATCCGACTGCTCTCGAGCCCCGTTGCCGATTTCAGGTCTCTTATCCTCATGTTGAATTAGTATTCAATAGCTCCTTTTTATATATTTGGGGCTTTTTTGTGTCTTTGAGGTGTTCAAATCTATTACCGGGGCCTTAGTTTTATTTTTGACGTCCTAGCAAATAATTCTAGCGGATTTCTATGATTTTGATGATGCTACTTGTTTGGTTATGGGAAATAGGACGAAGATTCTGAAGAATATGGAAATCCTGTTGTTTTAGCATCTGCAATTGCAGACATTATCAAGTCTCGAACTGAGGCGCTGTTGAAGAAGACCAAAACTGCAGTTTCTTCCATCCCTATTGTGATGAGAGCAGAGTATGCACATTGCCCCAACCTTACCATTATTGACACCCCTGGCTTTGTTCTTAAGGTTTGCTCTAGAGATCATCAAGAACGCCATCTTTGATTCCTTCAATTTTATATCCTTATTTTTGTTACTCCCAATGAGTTATGAGTTATTGTTCCATTTGGCAGGCAAGGAAGGGAGAGCCAGAGAACACACCACAAGAAATTCTTTCAATGGTGAAGTCACTTGCAAGTCCTCCCCATCGTATCCTCTTGTTCCTTCAACAAAGTAGTGTAGAGTGGTGTTCTTCATTGTGGTTGGATTCAATTCGTGAAATTGATCCCGCATTCAGACGGACTATTGTTGTTGTCTCCAAATTTGATAATCGTCTTAAGGTATGAATTAACTGAACTTTGTGAAACCCATTATCTGTAAGCAATATTAGATGAATATTTGCATCAGAAAGCTATGTCAACTTATGTGATTGCATCAAAATTGCTATGCCCATGAAATTTAGAAACTGACTCATTGACTTTAATATATGAGTCAAAGTTTTGATCTTTTCTTTGATGTTCAGGAATTCGGTGACCGATGGGAAGTGGATAAGTATTTGAGTGCCAGTGGTTACCTTGGAGATAACACTCATCCATTTTTTGTGGCCCTGCCAAAGGACCGAAATACTGTTTCTAATGATGAATTTCGGCGACAAATATCTCAAGTGGATTCTGAAGTTCTTCGTCATCTACGTGATGGTGTCAAGGGAGGGTTCGATGAAGAGAAATTTAGATCTCACATTGGTTTTGGCTGCCTGAGGGAATATCTAGAATCAGAGCTTCAGAAGAGATACAAGGAAGCTGCTCCAGCAACTTTGGCTTTGCTAGAGCAACGTTGTGGTGAAGTTGCATCTGAACTATGTAGAATGGAGTCTAAAATACAAGCTACTTCAGATATTGCACATCTTAGGAAATATGCTATGCTGTATACAGCTTCTATCAGCAATCATGTGGTGAGTAGTTCCTTTACGTCAACATTTTTTAATGTAGGATCTAGTTAATATTTAATTTTTGATATCTTTTCTCTTGATTTTGGACCTGGAACAACAACATTTTGAAGCTTCAAATTTGTGAGTAATATATAACTGCTTCCCCATTTCATCATGCATCTGAGCCGATGCATTCTAATTTGATCTTTAAGTGCTTAGATCTTTTAGGGTGCCATGGAGTTCTTTGCAATTTTGATTGCCCAAGTTATTACATTTTATTTGAAGTTTCTATATCAAATATTTTCCCCCCTTTCTTTCATGTCTTTCTCTGATTAACTTACTTCATCTTCTAATTTAATATAACAATGTCTTCTATTCCTCTATGGTAAAGAGCGCATTGATTGAAGGTGCGGCAGATCCTGCACCAGAGCAATGGGGGAAAACTACTATGGAGGAACAGTCGGGAAGTGGCATTGGAAGTTGGCCTGCTGTTACATCAGAGGTCAAGCCTGCCAACTCCAGCCTTCGGTTGTATGGTGGGGCTGCTTTTGAACGAGTAATGTTTGAGTTTCGATGTGCTGCTTATTCAATTGAGTGTCCTTCAGTTTCAAGGGAGAAGGCAAGAATCATTCATTCCTCGAATCTGATTAATTTTTTAATTTTAACTATTGCTGAAGCTCCTTTGCTTTTTGGAAACAGGTAGCAAACATATTACTCGCTCATACTGGCAAACGTGGAGGCAGGGGATTAACAGAAGCAGCTGCAGAGATTGCCCGTGCTGCTGCACGATCATGGCTTGCTCCTCTTCTAGATACTGCTTGTGATCGTCTTGCTTTTGTACTGGAAAATCTTTTTGATCTTGCATTGGAAAGAAATCGTGCCTATGAATCACAAAGTACATAAGCTTTCTCCTGTTTTCTTATACTTTTCTTGGGTTTTGTTCTCTTTGTTTTCTACTATACTGAGCTTCATCTTTTACTAAGTGAAAAACTCAGTAGTTATTCAGGGACCTGACCTTTCATGTTCTTTTCTAATTGTTAGGTGACAAAAGGTTGCATTCTAATTCATTTATGTTTAGTGGCGTCTCAAACATTTTTTTTTTTTTGTTTTCAGATGGGAAGAAGCACTGTAGCATGGACGGGTATGTTGGTTTTCACGCTGCTTTAAGGCATGCTTACAATCGTTTTCTGAAGGATCTTGCTAAACAATGCAAGCAACTACTTCGTCACCACCTCGACTCTGTTACAAGCCCATATTCACTTGTTTGCTACGAGAATGATTTTGAAGGAGGCTCTCTCTCAAATGCATCATCTTTTCAGAAAATTAATCGGGCTTCTGCTGGTTTGTTTTCGTTTGAATTATCTGAATGTGGGACAGATTCTCATGACGAAACAATAAAGGATCAGGAGAACAGACCTCCAGAAAAAAACGTACAGCAGATAACACCAGGAAAAGGTAAAGAATCTAGAGAAGCCCTTCGAGAATGCCAAATGACTGTTCCTGAAACTCCTTCACCAGAGCAACCTAGTGATGTTGGGTATGCAGTAAAGAAGGAATTTGTGAATGGGATGGATATTGGAGTTCGAAAAAGGGTTTCAAGAGTGACCAGAAATTCTAGTCGGATCGGTGGTCAAGATGGCGGCGGAACTTTGTTTAGTAATGATGATGGCAGTTCCAGATGTAGCTCAGCCTACACAGAAATTTGCTCATCGGCAGCGCAACATTTTG